GATGACTAGTTCACTGGTACATCATATGGAAGCCAACAGCACCCTAACCCTAATAAATATTTCTGATCTTGTAACAGAGTATGAGAAGGTTAAATTGATGCAGGTGCTTCAACTAAAAGTCCACACTAGTGTGGGTTAGGTCCCATAACTGGTTGTTAAAAACCTCACTATACTATATCAAAGTGAGACAAAGATAGAGTGATATCAAAATCTATGAATCCCACAGGTGTGTGTCTCCATCGCTATGATTGTTTCCAAGGTCTTAGTACTGACTATGGGTAGGTTTCAAATCAATTTTAACTTTAATAATGCAATATTGATTCATTAAAATCGTGAATCAAATTTTAAATATACATGTATTTTGCCAGAAATGTCAGAATCTCAGTTTAAACCTGACTTCAACAACCACGAAACATGGTTTCCGCAAGAAGACGTAAACACAAAGCACAGACCCAACGTATCAGAATCAGTGAGGTGTTGGCTTTCACACCCAGCCGTTGGGGCTGAAAGCCAAAACCTTACAGATTCTGATGTGTTGGCTTCGTGTTTGTGGTTTTTTTGCACTAGATTCTGAAGCTTCAAGTTTCTTCACTCTCCCACCAAAATTGACTGAACCAGCAGCAAAAGAAGATCCAAAGTAAGCTTCATATAAATATCATCATGAATTCCCTCTTACTGTTTGGCTTCCACCATTTTAAAAATCACAGTAACTAATTACTGATTACTTCCCTGGAAAAGTAATCCCGTTACTTTACTGATTACTTATTTTCAAAAGTAATTAATTACTTAGTTATTTTTTAAAAACACGATTTACAACCTGAATAGGTGATAAAGCAATAGATCTTTCAGCCCAATTCTACTTTTTCTGCATAATCCATCATTCAAAATGTAATCAAATGGAAACATCTCTTTTTAAAACTTGTTTTATTAGTTTTAATCTTTTAAAAAATTTAATTATATGCAACATTCTCTGACTGGAAGAAATTTGTTTAACATTTAAACCTATTTTCTGCACATTTGAGCACATAAAATAACAATATTTTTTGTGTTTACACTCAGTCTTTCAAATAGATGCAAGTAAAACACAGCAGAAAATAAAGTCAAAGACTAGCGGTCCTGTTGCCGCTGACTAGTTTTTTTCCCCTTCCCATTTTTTGTTGCCAATGATATTTGTGGTGTGAATGTTTCATAATCAACAGGAGGCAGGTTCACCATAACCACACACATCCAGACTCAGACATCATGTTACACGATACAGTCCACGGTAGCTATATGCTCCAAGTGAAGCTGAAGAAAGCATCTTCGTGGTTCAGAGGTTTCTCAGCAGAGGAGGATTTAGCTGAAACAGCTGAAGCCCTGTTTGGTTTTTACAACAACAACAACAACAACAACAACAACAACGACAACAACAACAACAACAAAAAACCCACCAGTTTTGTTAACAGATGTAGAATTTTGCTGGAGCACAGCTCTTTACAGTTTATGTTTACATGAATTTCTAAATTAGTATAAAACATCAGAAACAAAGAAAATCTTGTGCATAATAAGGCAGAATACTTTTTTATGCGTCTTTCAAACATTAAAAATGACACCTCAGAAATAAAATCTCAAAAGAAATTTAAACAAAACTTTATTTAAACATTAGGAACACAAAGCAAACACTAAAACTAAACCTAAACAATGATCAAACAGAACAAGAGGATACTGAACCTTAACCATCATGAAATGTATGATCATGGTTTTCCTGGTATATTTTAATAATGAGGTGATAAACTTAACTATTGCAGAAAGCATGTTCAAAAGTTGATTAATTCTGAGATCAGAAACCTTAGCCCCTTTTTCCATTAGTACCTACTTGGATCAACTTGGCACAATTTGCCAAGGTTTTCCATCTGGTACCAGGTCACAGTACCTGGTATCAGGTAATTTTTTTAGTACCTGCTTGCTCGGCTGCTCCATGTGATCCGAGCAGGTACTAAAATGTGACGTCGTCATACTGCATGCCACCGATTGGCTGGTCAGTAGTGTCATTCAATGAGTCATGAGAAAGTCTCCTTCATGAAAATTAAAACTGCCATTTTTGAAACCCAGTTGTTACCCAAAAGAAAAAAAAAAAGACGGAGAAGCAGGTAAATCCCAGCTTCGAAATCAACCGTTTTTGTAGGTTTCATGTCGCGTATTAATTACACTGCAGGACGAGTGCTATGACAACAACCACTCACATTAGATAGTACCGGATTGTAGTGGAAAACCAGTCAAGTTGTGGCAAGTCGATCCGAGTAGCTACTAATTTCAAAAGAGGCTTTTGAGTGTTTGTTCCAAAACAGCTGATCAGAGTAGAGAAAGGAAGCCATCATTAATGGAGCTCCAATATCACAATTCACCATGGCAACAGGTAAATAAAGAGCAGTGCCTCCATATGTCAGTGCTGACCACGAGGCTAATTTACAAAAACAAAAAACAAAAATGGCAAGACCACTCACAGCTGTCCAACATTTTCTAAGCATGAAACTTTAATCAGTATGGATTTTCATGTGTCTCTTTACGTGTCCGAGATGACTGAATCTTTTCCCACAGATGCTACAGGAATACGGTTTCTCACCAGTGTGAATTCTTAAATGACGTTGCAACTCATAGTTCTCTCTGAATCCTTTCCCACAGGTGCTGCAAAGATACGGCTTCTCACCTGTATGAATTTTTAAGTGATAATACAAATGTGCACGCCGACTGAATCTTTTCCCACAGACGGTACAGATATGGGGCCTCTCACCTGTGTGAATCCTTACATGAGACTCAAAATGTGATTTATAGGAAAATCTTTTTCCACAAGTGCTACAAGGATATGGTTTCTCACCTGTGTAACAGTTACCATGATTTTTCAAAGCTGATATCTGACGGAATTGTTTCCCACAGGTGCTACAAGAATACGGTTTCTCACCTGTGTGAATTCTGAGATGTGCATTCAGGTGGCATTTAAACTGAAAATGTTTTCCACAGACGTCACATTTCAGAGACTTTTTCCTTGTGTCAGTTTTACTTTGACTCTCTGAAATAGCAGGGTTGTCTACTCTCTGACTGTGACTTCCGTTGCTGTGATGTCTCCTCTTCTTCAGCTCTGCATTTCTAGTTGATCCTGAGTCCACATGCTGGCTTGCTTTCTGATCTCGGCCCTCTGCTTCAGGAGAGCTGTGAGAAAGGAGATGCTCACCGTTTGCTTCTGATTCAGTGTGTGCACTTTCCTCATAAGCGGCTGTCACCATGAAGGCATCAGTCTCCTGCTTCAGTCCAAGCTGCTCTCCCTCCTGACTGCTGCAGAGTTCCTCCTGTTCCTCTTTAATCTGTGGAGGCTGTGGGTACTCCTCAGTCAGACTGGAGTTCCTTTCTTGGATACAGACCTGTTGGTCTGTAAGAACCTCCTCCTTCTCAATGACATGTTGCTGTTGGAGGTCTGAAAAGACAAATGTAGGAGGTGGGGGTGACAGAAAAACAAACATTTGAGAAAATATGTTCTGATCTGAAACATTAACAGGTCTCTCCACAGTGAGAATGTGTCTCACATATACAAGTGAAATTTAAAGTGTACAAAATTTGACAAATTATTTGAGCACTGATGCAAGTGACCTTTTAGTTCTGGCACTCTTATTAGTAGAATGATCTCTTTCTGTTTACAATGTGAAAACTTTGTCACTGAGTGTTATAGTTTTAATGTGGAAAGGTCTTAATCTTGGGTAAGTAAGCAAGAGTTTCTCTGCATTTCTGTGTAAAGAAGTAAACAAATGAACCAATCACAAACAAGCTTTTTCTGATTGGTGGAGTCAGGTCAGACAACTATTTAAATGTGACTTAGTGACACACAGTCACACCTGTCCATCCAATAAAAGATGGCTGATCTTTTTACTGAGTAATCTGACATTTTCGCCTCACACATAGTCTGTCTCACTCCGTTGGGCTGGAAGTGTATGTATAGTGATTATGCTGTAACACACTGCTCCTACATATGTTTCTATTGCAGGTCTGTTTCTAGTTGAAAATGTGTGTGAAACACTCACATTTAAATCATTCAACACATCAGTGTGCTGCAAAGTGCACAAAAATCAAAGAATTTTGTGTTGAGGATTAGTCCAGTTACTTAGTGAATTGTTGCAGTCCTAGTATAGATTGTGATAGTTAGAAAATTCATTTGGTCTCACAGGGAAAATCCTTAGTTTGTTTACCTTGAAGGTATGGATCATTTTGTCTACAGTGATGCTAATTAATTACACAACACCATGATGCTGTGTGGCGTCTCACAAGGGTCAAATCACAGGGCCCTCTTATTGAATCTGCATATGGTTCCTTTTTGTGAAATCTTTCAGGAGTTAGTTGATAAGTTGTCTTATCACAGCTATGCTGATGATACCCAGATTTATTTGACTATGTCATTATGTTTGTGTCCTAAAAATGTAAACAACACAACAAAAATTACCTCCAATCCATCCATTCTCTTCCACTTATTGGGGCTGTGGGAATTTGCAGCCTATCCCAATTGATCTTTCTCAGTACACTTAAGTAATCACTTCCTCCAAACCATCAACATGTCTTTTAGAACCCAGTTCTACGAGACTGCTTAAAGAAGTCCTGCCATTAATTTGTGTTTCAATCTTAAATATGATCATCCTATCACTACTAGTCGGTTATGTACCACGGGGCTTCAAATTAGCGGTAGTTAAGCTGTTACTTAAAAACCCATATACTTCACCTAGCTGTCTTAACTAATTTTGGGTTGTTTTCCACCCCCTTTTTATTTTAAAAAAAAATCTTGAAAGAGTAGTTGTAACAGCTTACTGATCATCTGCAAAGGAATGGCTTATTTGAAGAGTTTCTGTCAGGTTTCAGAGCTCATCGCTGTACAGAAACAGCTTTAGTGAAGGTTACAAGTTATCTTCTTATGGCCTCTGACAGTGGACTCATCTCTGTGCTTGTCCTGCTAGACTTCACTGCAGTGTTTGATCAATTAGAGCATGTTGCAAGTATTAAAGGTACTGCACTGTGGTGGTTTGGTTTAATAGACTCCAAGTTGTTCATGTAAATTGAGAGTCCTCTTTATACATTAAGGTTAATAATAGACTTCCACGGGGTTCCCTGATAGAAATATTGGATTTACATTATACATTCTTCACAATCCGACAAGTACAGTGCAACGGATGATATCCTGTGCAACAGAGTTTATGTTGAATAAGGTTTTACTTATTTATTATATTGAATTACCATGTTCTACCTCATTTTTATATTATTTTTGTAATTATATTTAAATTTTATATAACTTTTTGTTTCTGACACCGCAGAGAGTGCTCTTAATTTCATTGTACATGTTACAATGACAATAATGATATTCAGATTTTTATCCTTAGTTATGCTGCAATAGGTCAAGGCTGTGTTTCCTCTTTAATAACCTGTTTTACTCATTATGTTTTTATACAACTCACTGAATTGAATTCATATTCATTTCTGGCTCTCTTCCACAGCATGTCCTTGTCCTGTCTTCCTCCCCTCACCCCACCCAGTCGGAGCAGATGGCTGCCCCTCCCTAAGCCTGGATCTACAGGAGGTTTCTTCCTGTTAAAAGGGAGTTTCTCCTCCTCTCTCCACTCTTGCCAAAGTGCTTGCTCATAGGGGGTCATATGATTGTTGGGTTTTTCTCTGTAAGGTGCTTTTAGAGCCATAAATATGGATTATACAGAGATCACGTTTAGTGCAAATCCTGTTGTCATTTATTTTCTGTTATAATCATTGGGCGAGTTTGATTACAGTTTAACATTATAGTGAAATTGTGAGTTTAATTTTAAATAAATAAAAAAGAAAATGATTAATATAGCACCTTTCTGGACAGAGTCACAAAGTGCTACTGAGTCCACAGTTGTTAAACTTAGAGGGAGACAGTTCCACAGTGGCAAAGCTCTATCACCCTTAGTTCTCATCCTTGTGTGTTGTATAGCAAGTAGGCCCTGATCAGATAATCTCAGTGCTAGGGACATAGGGCTGTAGAAGATCAGAAATATGTGCTGGTACCATATGTGTTGGATCAAGGACACATCTAAAAAGTGCAGGAAACCAGCCCTCGACACCTGTGACTTAGAGGATCTGGTCAAAGCGTAGCTGCAGTGTTTTGCACAACCTGCAGACGATCCAGGGAAACTTTGCTTAGACACATAAACAACTGAATGTCATCACCATAACAGTGACAGAAAATGTCCTCAAAGGAGCCCATTATATGCTGGCGGGGGAGAAGATATATGTAACAATAAAGCACCCAAAACCAAATCTTGAGGGACACCATAAGTAAGGGAGGTAGAGGATAACCTAAAATTAGAGACCACCACAGAAAAACCACAGGTTATGTAGATAGAACCACTCCAAGGCAGTTCCAGATACACCAGCCCAATACTTGAGCCTTTCAAGCAGGATGTGGTGGTAAACGGTGTCAAATGCCGACGTGAGGTCCAACATCAACAAAACAAAGCATTTTCCTGCATCGTTACTCATCAAAATGTTACTAGAGACCGTAAGAAGAGCTGTTTCCATGG